TGTACAAAGCGGGTCCCGGGAGGTGTGAGCGGCCGGCATGCAAGCATGCATGCAGGCAGCCAGCAGGGAGAGGGGGGGGAGGGGGTCATGGCGGGCACAGGGCACGGCCCTGCTGCAGCGCAATAGAGAGGGCCGGGGGGAGGGCTGGGAGGCGCGATATGGTAGCAGGTAGCGGCCCACACAAACATGGGCGGCGCGCAGTTAGGTATACAGGGGTGGGAGAAGCAGGGGCAGGGGTTTCTTCAGAATTGGGGGCCCGCCAATCTGGGGGCGAGAAGGGGGGCAGGGAAGCTGGTGCGGCGCCCGGGGGGCCGGCGCCGCGAGGGGCGGGCCACACTAAACAAGGCCGGGCCGGCGACCCGCGGCAGCCTCCCAGGCGCGCGCACTCTCTCTCAATCTCAACATCTCTCACTAGAGAGCGGGCTGCGACGCCGCGGGCGTGCGGCCGCCCTACAGCCGCCGCCCCGGCGGCAGGCTGGGCGGCTCGGGGCCAGGCGGCGGCGGCAGGTCGAGCGTGCGGGTCAGGTTGAGGCGCTGCTCCAGGCCGCGCAGCTCGTAGCCGGTGATCATCAGCCAGTACATGAGCTGCGCCAGCTCCCCGGCGGTGCAGTCGCTGCTGCCGCCCTGCCACGTCTCCTCCTCCATGCCTGCGGGGCCGGGCGCGCGCGAGCGGGGGCGGCTGTGATCGCCAGCCGGGCGCCGACCAAGGGGCGCAGCCGCTCCGCGCTGCGCCCCGCCAGCCGCGCCTGCCTGCTGCACACCCTCCTCTGCCTGCCCTGCCACACCTAGCCGTCGGGCGCTACGTCTGCAAGGGGAGTCCCGGTGACCTCCTCCCCCACCCCAAGCCACCCCGCCTGCCCTCCAGCCCTGCCGCCGCACACACCCGTGCACACACACGCGTGCCTCGCCGCCGCCCGGCCCCGCCGCCGCCCCCGCACCCAGCCACTCACCCATGAGCCGCTGCACAAACAGGTTCATCGCCTCCACCACATCCTCGCTGGCACAGTCGGTCAGGGCCACCAGCTCCTCGGGGCTCAGGCACTTGAGGTAATCCAGCAGCTCGTTGCCCGGCAGCGGCTGGAACTTGGCGTCGGTGGCGGCGGCCCGCTCAAACGCCGCCGCCTGCGCTGCCATCTGCGCGCGCGGGGGGCGGGGCGGGGCGGGGCGCGGGCGGGAGGGGTGTGTGTGGGGCGGGGTGGGGTGGGCGGTGTGCCGGCGGGGCGCAGCTCGCGTGGGAGGCAAGGCCAGGAGGCCGAGGGAGCGAAGCGTGCCACCCCCTGGCGCAGCCCAGCGCGGCTGCACTGCCCCCGATTGGCTGTACTGTCCCCATGGCAGGGCAGCAGCAGCAGCAGGGGCAGAAGCGGCGGCGGCTGGAGGAGTAGGGTGGCGGCACGCGTCGGGCGCCTCACCGCCGCTGCCCACCCACAGCAGCGGCAAAAGGCAGCAGCAGCGGCGGCACGGCAGCGGCGGTGGCGGGAAGGCGGCGGGAACGCCTTCTGCCCACCTGCTGCCGCAGCTCCGCCAGCTCCGCCTCCAGCTGCTCGATGTACTGCAGCGCCGGTACCACCTCCTTGCCGTTCTCGTGGTGCCACCGCAGCACCTCCCCCTCCACCCGCACCTTCTGCGCTCGCAAGGGGGCGGCGCAGCGGCGGCGGCGTTGAGCAAGCCGGTGGTCGGGGGCGGCTGGGGGGCACGGCGTGCGAGGCCAGGGTGCGGCATGCAAGGCCAGGGCAGGGCATGCAGCGGAAACCACCCCAGGCTGGGCGGGAGGACCGTCACGCAGCCCTGTGCTGCTGCGCTGCCGCCATGCGCAGGCCCTGCCCGGCAGCAGCCGCCGCCACTCGCAGCAGGCGCCCCACCTGTGAGCCGGGAGCGTACGCAGGCCCCGCCGCCTCCTCCAGCCCATCCAGGCTGCCGCCGGCAGCGGCGACGGCGCCCGCCAGGCTGGTGCCGCCGCCGCTGACCGCCAGCTCCGGCTCCAGCAGGCCCGCGGGCTGCTCCGCCATGCTGCGTGTCAGGCTGAGGCGGGTCCAGGCGTTGGCAAACATGTAGCCGCTCATGAGCACGGAATACATGAGCTGCACGCAGGAGGGGAGACATAGGAGGCAGGGGCTGGGAGGCAAGGGCTGGGACGCGGCCAGCAGCAAAGGAGGGGCCCGCGGCAAAGGAGGCGAGGTGCCGCCGCGCCGCCGCAACCCGCGGCTGCGCTGCGCCGCCCTGCCGCGCCCGCCGCCGCCGCGCGTGGCGGCCCTGCCGCGCGCCTCTCACCTGCGCCAGGTTCTCTGCCTCTGTGGAGATGACGACGCGGAAGAACTGAGGGGGCAGCGTGCCCAGCATGGATGTGATGGTCTGCCGCATGGCGATGATCACCTCGGGGTGCGCGGCCTCCTCGAAAAAGTGCATGAGCGAGGGGTCGGCCTCCTGCACAAACCTGCGGGGCGGCCCAGGGGGCGCGCCAGGAGCCAGGGAGGGAGGGAGGCGGGCGCGGCGGGGGGTGGGTGAGCCCGGCATGGGGCCCGCGGGGCCGGCCGCGGCGGGCGCGCTGCCGGCGAGGCGCGGCGGAGGGGGTGTGGTAGCACGTGGGCGGCGGCGGCGGCGGCGGCAGAGGGCGCGCGGCAGCGGAGGGCTGGGACGCTTGGGTAGGTGGGCGCGTGCGTGGCGGGCTGCCTTGAGGCCGGCCATGCCAGCACTGGCGGCAGTAGTCAGGGCGGAGTGGGAGCAGCGCTGGGGCTCACTTGAGCAGGGCGCGCTGCCGCTCGCTGCCGCCCGACGCGCCGCCGCTCCAGCCGGAGGCTACCACTGCTGCCGCACGCCGCCAGGCCACGGCGCGCCGCGCTGCAGCCATCCGCCGCCGCATGCCCAGCCTAAAACTGTTGCTCCGTGGGAGCCAGGCTGCTCGCACACGCAGCGCGGGCGCCAGGGCTCTCAGGGGCGCTGCCGCCAGCAGCGTCATTTCGGGGGCCTATGGCCTGATGGGTGCTGGCAGTGTCGGGTGGACGGCTGTGGCCGTTGCCGGTGGGGCTGCAGAGAGGTGTGAGGTCATGCAGCGTGGGAGCGTCTGAGGGCCTGTGGGCATCCCCCGGCGCGTCCCTGACCTCGGAATAGCCGGCACCGGGCTCCCAGCCCGCTTGTCCCGCTGACCCGGGCTCCATGCAGGGGAGGTACAAATTGGATGGGGAGGGGAGCAATCGCTTGTGCAGCGTGTGCCAGCCCCTGTCCCAAGCCCCCATCCCCCAAGCAGGTGCGGTGTGTGCTGGTGGAGCGGCCAAGCGCCAACGCTGCTGCCTGATTTTGACATGCGGCGGGGGACACGGCTCGGGATGCCCCCCAGGGGCCCCTGCGGCCCGCCAAACAGCCATGCATGACCGCCAGAGGGGATGGGCGGGGCGGGGCGGGGCAATTGCCGGGTAACGCGGCGCCAACCGCCCTTCAATTATTTGAGCGGCAAAGGCATGGCGCCGCGGTCTGAGCCCCGTTCCAGGTTTCTGGGCAGTCCCGGCCGACCAATGCACACACTTGCAATGCCTGCAGGCCGCCCGCACCCCTCCACCTCCCAGCCACCATGAGCCAGGTCCCCGCTCTGGACATGAACGCCGTCCAGGAGGAGAGCCGCGAGCTCACCCGCAGGCCCAGCTTCACCAAGAAGATGTCCAGCAAGTTCAAGGTGCGCGCCGGGACGGGTGTGCCCTTGCGCCAGCGCCCAACCCGCACCCCGCCGGGGCCGCGCAAGGCGCCACAACAAACGTTGGCCACCTACGGCGGGGCGTGCTGCGCTCAGGGTGCTTCGCACGTCATGCGTTCCAGTGGTGTTGTCGGCCACTGAAGCATTGCCCTTGGCATTGCCGGACGCCTCGCAACACGCTGACAGCCGGCGCCCCACCGCACCTCCACGCCTCCGCCTCCCCGCCTTGCCCGCAGAACCTGGTGACGCCCCGCGGCGGCAAGACCTCCCCCACCGGCTCCGGCACCGTCTCCAAGTCCTCCAGCTCCGCCAGCCTGATTCGGGTGCCCAGCATGCCGCCGGCGGCCGCCGCGCCCAAGCCCGCCGCCGAGGAGCCCGCCAAGCCCGCACCCGCGCCTGCCCCGGCCCCCGCCAAGGAGGCCAAGCCGGCTGTGGAGGAGGTGCAGCTGGCGCCCGAGCCCGCCACCCCCGTGGCCGCCGAGGAGGAGCAGGCGGCTGCGCTGGAGGAGGCCGCATCTGCCAGCGAGCAGTCGGCGCCCGCCACCTCTGAGGCGGTGGATGAGAAGATTGCCGCAAAGGTGGAGGACATCAAGGCCAAGGCCGCCGCTGTGGAGGTGCGGGGGTGCCTCTGCTCGTGCGAGGTTGCTGCCGGGCCCCAAATGCGGGGCTGCCCAAGGGCCTCCTGTGCACGCTGTGGGGCAACGCTGCGTCGGGCGCCGCCCGCGCCATGCACCGACCCCTCCCTGCCGCGCCCGCCGCCGCCCGCCGCACTGCAGGCCGAGGTGCCCAAGGGCAACGGCCTGGTGCGCGGCCTGCTGACCGTCGGCATCCTGGCGGCCGCCGCCGGGGCCGCCATTGCGCTCAGCGGCGCCGCCGCCGCCAAGCCCGCGCAGGCCAAGGAGCCCGTCAAGCAGGCCAAGGGGTGGCGCAAGTGAGGCGCGCAGCCCTGGGCTGCCCCGCAGCCCTTTATTCGTTAGAGCGAAACGACGATCCTTTGTGCCGGCTGGCTGCCCGGCCATCTGTCCCAAGATACGAGCCGCCGTGGCGGCACTCGCCGCCGGCTGCGCCTGCCGCGACGTGCGGCGGCATGAAAACTCAACCAGGCAGCGCTGCCGCATGCTGCGCAGCGCCACACTCCGCTCCTGTTGATTAGACCAGCCCAACTTTAGTTGTCGCCCGACCTCGCATCGTTGCCGGACCCCATTCATTTGCCGCCCGCGCTGCACGCTGTGCCTCTTTTGTTGAGCAGCGCGCCCACCTGCGTCCAATGAACGAACCACTCGCCTGCTGTCCCTTTTCTCTTGGTGCTTTTCCCTCGCTGTTGTGAGCTCCCATCCCGTTCCCCCTGTATTATTCTTCATCCCCTCACTGCTCTGCTCTGCGGCGCCCGAGCAGCTGCCGTCACACCTGCTGTCTGTCTTGCCCCGCGCACGATTGATCTGTATGCCTCCTGGCCTCCCGCGCTTTTCTGCCCGCCAGCGCATCACCCACCCTCAGCCTGCTGGCCTGCCTCCGCAACCCCGCACACTTGACTCTTTCGTTGATAGATCCATCCAGACTAGCTCAGTGCTGTCATGTGAACCAGAAGTCTTACCGCCGATGGATGAGGGCACGTTGGTTGGGGCGATGAGAGCGCAGTCGAGTTTGAGGAGAGTGAGGTGGAGGGCAACGTTTGTGGTCGCCCAGTCAAGGTCAAGGTCAGCCAGCCAGGGTGAGTCGATCAGTCAAAGTCAGGCGAGTCCAAGCAATGCAGTGTAAACAACAGGGCCGCCGCAGCCTGCTCGCTCAGGCGGCGCGCTGCGCCAGCGCCGCGCACTCCCGTATGCGCCGGTCCAGCTGCTGGATGAGCGGGTCGTCCAGGCAGTAGGCCCCGCTGCCCAGCAGCAGCTCCCGCTCCCGCAGCAGCCGCTGCACCGCGTCGCACAGCTGGCCCTGCAGCACGACAGGCGCCGCGCGGCTGCCGCCGCTAGCCGCCCCGCCGCCCCCGCCGCCGCGAGCGTTCTCCTTGTTCCCCCCGCTGCTGCCCGCGGCGCTGGCGGCGGCGCGCGGCGAGCCGGCTGCTGCCGCGGCGCCGCCACCGCCGTTGCCGCCTCCGCCGCCGCCGCTCATCTGCAGGCTGCGGAGCTGCTGCTTGAGTGCCGACATCTCGGCTGCATCCCGCGCCGCCGCCAAGGCCGCCTCTTCTGCCTGCAGCTTGGCCAGCTCGGCGCCCAGCTGGCCCCGCTTCATGCCCACCAGCTCCGCCACCTGCTGCTGCAGCAGCGCCACCTCCCCAGCCAGCCGCACCACCTGCTCCTTGTACCTGCGCTTGCCCTCTGCAGCCCTGGCCAGGCGCTGCTCCCTGGCAGCCAGCTCCTGCCGCGCGGCAGCCAGCTCCCCCTCCAGCCGCCCCGCCTCGCTGGCGCCGTGCCGCTCCCGCTGCTGCGCGGCGCCGCATTCGGCGGCCGCCGCCCGCGCCTCGGCCGCGGCCGCGCGCTGCTCCGCGGCTGCCCGCTGCTGCGCCGCCTGCTCCCGCCGCTGGCCCTCCAGCTCCAGCTGGTGCTGGCACTCGGCCTGCAGCCGCCTCACCGCCGCCTCCGCCTCTGCCACACGCGCCGCATGCTCCCGTTCCAGCTCCCGCCGCCGCCGCGCAGCCGCCTCCTCGGCAGCCACCACCTTGTGCTCTCGAGCCTCTGCCGCCGCCAGCACCTGCTGCGCCTTGCCCTCCAGCGCGGCATACTCGCCACGCAGAGCCGCCGCCTCGGCGTCCCGCTCCTGCTCCCGCCGCCGCCACGTCTCCTCCAGCGCCGCCTGTGCGGGCGGCACAGGCCACGGCGGGGCAGGAGCATGGGGCAGGGCACGGCCTGCTTGCGGCCTGCTTGCGGCAGCGTCCACCGCAGCTGCAACCGGTAAGTCACGCTGCTGACAGGCCGCACAACAGCCCAGCAAGTTGCCCATCCGCCGGCCCCCAGCCGAGCCAGCCCACCCACCATGCGCCGCGCCTCTCTCTCCTTGAGCTCCCGCAGCCAGCGGGCCTGCTCCTCCCGCTTCCACAGCTCCAGCTCCCAAGCCGCCTCCAGCTCCGCCCCGCCAGCAAGGCTACTGGCAGCAGAGGCTGCTGCGGGCGCTGGCGCTGCGGCTGAGGCTGACGACAGGGCAGGCGGAGGCAGCGGCGGCATGGCCGCCTGCTGCCGCTCTGCCGCACCCCGGGGCGGCCACTCGCCCTGCGCCGCATCCGTCTCAGCCTCCGGCTGGGCGGGCGGCGCGCCGCCGCTTGCCGCAGCTGCCGGCGCTGCCTGCTGCGGTGGTGCAGCCGACGACAGCGCCGCGACTGCAGGCGCCGCCGCAGGTGGCGCCGCCGCCGCCGCTGCCGCTGCGCCCGGTGCGGCAGCTGGTGCTGCCACCGCTGGCCCCGTCTCCTCCAGAGACATCACAAGGTGCACCGTGCCCACCTGCACCCGCTCGTGCTGCGCGGGGTCGGCCGCGCTGGGCGCCAGCGCAAACACGCCCGCCCGCCCGTCCACCCAGCTCTCCTGCAGCAGCGGCGCCAGCGGCACGTGCGCGCGCCCCAGCAGTAGGTCATCTGCCAACCGCTCCCGATGGAACACATCCACAGTCATCATGAGGCCCCTGTGGGGTGCGGGGCACGCATGCGGCAGGCACAGGAGCGCTTTGGGTGCGAGCGCTGGTGATGGTGGGACGCACTGGGGAGGCGGGCAGGCAGGCGCAGCGACGGACATGCACAGAAAGGCACACACGCCGAGCTGGGATGCGTGCGGTGTATTTTTTGTCGTGCGGAGGTGGAGTGCAGCTGCAAGCACCGGCTGCAGGTGCAGGGCCCTGCTGACCTGGCCAGCAGCGTGGCGACGCCCATGAGGCCTGCGGTGAAGTCGCAGGCAGCTTGCCCGCCCCGCAGCGCCGCCTCGCTGCCGCGTGCCACCTGCACCGCCTGCGTGCGCAGCGGCGCCAGCCGCGGCGGCAGCCGCCCGTTGCTCTGCTGGATCACGCCTGCAGCCGCGGCGCGAGCACCACACGCCCAGCTGGTTTATTGCTGTCAAAAGAGCGTGGGAGGCACACCGGCATTTCTCATGCGGCCACCAGCCCCGCCGAAGCTGCCGGCCGCTTCTGCCTTGCTTCTCCTCTGCTCATCCAACCCCTGTCCCAGCACCCAGCACCCAGCACTCACCTGCCAGCTCCGGCGGCAGCTCCAGCTCCAGCACCACGGCAGCCAGGTTGAGCGGTAAGCGGGGCCCCGCCTGGAAGTGCTGCAGCTCAACGCTGAAGGTGAAGCGCCGCAGAGAGCCCTCAGCCAGCAGGCCATGGCTCAGGCTGCCCGCCTGCGCCAGCAGCTGCGCGTCTGCATGCGCAGAGGCCGCCATCCTGCCTGCCGCAGCGCCGCTCCTGCCCGCTGGAGGACGGGGGCGGCGGGTGCCGCGGCAGCTGGGCGGAAAGCGTCGCCCGAGCGGCTGCGCTGCTGCAGAGCTTGCTGGAGATGCTGCCGGTGGCTCAAGCTGCCAGCGGTCTTGGCTGTCTGCCTGGGCAAGCGGCGGGGCACCCCAGTGCGTTCAAGTTGCGGCGCTGCCAAGCAGCGTGCACAGCCCAAGCGGGAGTTTGCAAGTGCAATGCAGGTGGTGACGCGCAGAGGAGGCTTCGCAAAGCGTCCTGAGTTTTGGTCAAGGCCAGCTCGGACGCGGATGGGATGAGCTGGATAGGCACGGGGCCACCCCTGGCCATCTTGCATGCTATCCGATTCCATTGCACAGCTCGACAAGGCAGCCGGAGCGCCATGCCGGCCACAGAGGAATCGCAAAACAGGCTGTTCAAGGCGGCAGAGGCGGGGGACGTGCAGGAGTTCCAGGAGGCGGCTGCAGCGATCGATGAGGACGTCAGGGAGCTGCATGCGGACAACGGCGCAAACGTGCTCCACATTGCGGCGCACGCCGGCCACACAGAGCTCTGCGCATACCTCCTGGACGATCTGCACCTCGACGTGAATGCAACAGACGGTAAGCGGCTGGCGGCAGCACGCTGGTTGCCCCTTCCCGCCGCCGGCCGGCGGCGCCGGCAGTGCCCGGTCCTGCCCTGTGCCTGACCTGCTGCCCTCGAAACTGCGCCTGGCTGCAGGCAGCGGCAGCACGGCCCTGGTGCTGGCCATCTCGAACAAGCACTACGCCACCGCCGACCTGCTGCTGTCGCACGCGCCCGACGTCAACCGCCAGGGCAGCGGCGAGGGCGCCGCGCCGCCGCTGCACCTGGCCGTCGCCGACGGCGAGGTGGAGCTGGCTGGCCGGCTGCTGGGCGCGGGCGCGGACGTCAACGCGCAGAGCGGCAGCGGCAGTCCGCTCATGCTGGCGGCAGCGCGCGCCAACGCGCCCATGCTGCGGCTGCTGCTGGGCGTGGGGGCCGACGTGGGCGAGGCGTCCCGCAAGGGCCTCACACCGCTGTTCCTGGCGGTGGCGGTGGGCGGCAGCGCCGAGTGCGTGCAGCTTCTGGTGGACGCGGGGGCAGACCCCAATGCGCGGGCGTTGGGGGCCTTCACGCCGCTGCACGTGGCGGCCGAGAGCGGCAAGGCTGACATTGCCGAAGTGCTGCTCAAGGTGGGGGCTCTGCCTGGCCTGTGTGGCAGGAGGCGGCCATCTGGCATGGCGGGCCGGCCTGAAGCTGAGCTTGCAGGCACATGGCATGGCTGGCTGGCTTGCTGCTGGCCGCTCCGCCGATGGCCGGCTGCCTCGCTTCCGCTGACGGCGCAATGCTGGCTGTCGGCCTGGCTGCTGACGGCTCGGTGCGCTGCCGCGTGCTGCTGCAGGCGGGCGCGGACCCGGATGCCAAAGACGAGCACGGCCACACGCCCGCCCGCGTGGCAGGCATGCACGGCCACCGCCAGCTGGTGGAGGCGCTACTGCGGCGAGGCGGCGGCGGCGGCGGCGCAAATGGCGGCGACGAGGGCGGCGGCGGTGGCGACGGCGCCGACGGCGCTGCCGCGGGCCCTCCAGCAGCATCGATGTCTTCATCCGGAGCAGCAAGGCGGAGCTGGAGCAGAGGGAGGCAAAGGCGGTTAGCGGAGGGAGGTGGAGGTGGAGCAAGCTGGCGGCAGGCACTGCTGCGTGTAGCTGGAACCCTTGCCTTGTTGGGAGAGGCCTCAGGGTTGGTGCGCCTCCAACCCAGCCGCGCACTCTCTCCGCTGCGCCGCACTGCCGCGCCGCCCTCTCCCTGCCGCCTGCCGCCGCCACAGTCCGCCGCCGCCGCCGCCGCCGCCGCCGCCTCGGCGCCTCTGTTGTGCGCATACCGGAGCCAGAGGTGGCCGATGAGACGCTGTCAGACAGCTTCAAACGCAAGGGCAACGAGTTCTTTGTGAAGGGGGACTATGAGGGGGCCGCGCAGCTGTATGGGCTGGCGCTCAGCCACTGGACCAAGTGAGTGCGGCTGGGGGCTGGCCGCGCTGCGCGCAGGGCAGGCGCTGCTGCGTGCGATGGTGCTCACAAAGCCGCGGCTCTGCCGAGGCTGCTGCGCGGGGTTGTGGTGCTGCGGTGCGCGGCCCGGAGCGCCGGCCGCCCGTGCCTGTGCCGCAAGCCCCGTGCGCCGCATGCCCACATGCCGCCGCAGCCTGTGTGTGCTGTGCCTTGCAGGAGCGCCACGGTGTGGAGCAACCGCGCGGCCTGCTACCTGCGGCTGGAGCGGTACGAGAAGGCGCTGCAGGATGCGCAGATAGCGCGCACCCTGGATCCAGCATACGTCAAGGTGGGCATGTGGCGTGTGCGAGGGAGGGAGGGGCTGCACAGGCGCTGTTGGCGGGGCTGCATGCTGCGCTGCGCTGCGCCGCGCTGTATCTTGCTGCGCTGGGCTGCTGGGCACAGCTGCCTGTCGGCTTGCCTTCCGGGCGGCATGCCCGCTCCCCACTCCCTCCCTCCCCCCCTCCCCTCCTTCCCTTCCCCCCCCCCCTGCCGGGCTTGTTACCGGAAAGGGCGGGCGCCGAAGGGGCTGAAGCGGTGGGAAGACGCGGCGACTTCTTTCTACCAGGCGGCACAGCTGCAGCCGGACAACGAGGAGTTCATCCGGCTGACCAAGGAGGCGATTGTGGAGGGGCGCAAGGAGTTCCAGGCGCAGCAGGCGGCGCAGCAGCAGCAGCAGCAGCAGGCAGTGCCGGCGGCGGCCGCTGCCGGGGAGCCGTAGCGGTGTGCTGGCGGGTCGGGGTGGATGCCGCGCTGCCCTTCTCCGTCCCTGGCCTCGTGTGTTGAGCGTTACAGGCCTGTAGCTTGATGCAGAAGCGCTCGAGCGCCCATGCAGGCCGAACTTCTGGTACAGGAAAAAAGAGCGTACAGCGTGGAGCATTGAGGGTAGTGCAGCTAGGGAGAAGGGGGAAGAAACAGAAGCGGGGAACGCACGCAGTGATGGCAGCGCACAAGCACAGCGACAGTAGGGCACAGCAACAGTGGGGCACAAGGACAGTGAGGTAGTGCAGACGTAGGCACATGAGACATGGACATTCTTTCTTTCTTTTCATCGCGCAAAAACATGGCACAGGGGGACGCAACGGGCATGCTGGGCACAGCATGCAATCTCATGGAGAGGGCGGAAGAAAGGCACAGGCAAACAAGAGAAGAATGTGAACAACGGGTCTGGCAAAGAATGCTGGGCTTGGTTGGATGGATGGGAGGGTGACAGGGATCAAATGCACGCAGAAGGCGACGAAATGGACCTGAAAGCAGGGAACACTCCGCGCACAAAGGGCACGCAAGGGCGAGAGATGAATGGATGCTGCATGTGGCGGGCCCCCCCACGCAAGGGACAAGGTGGCAGGGGGCAAGAATGGCGCATGCGGCTTCAAGCGGCAGGGCGCGTGCAATCAATCAACAGAGAGTGTACAAGGGCACACAGCAAACAATGGGCGAGTGAACGTTGCCGGCTGATTGCGTTTGGAAGATGGCGGGTGGGGTTTGTTGGTGTTCCTTCTTGAGCAGACCAGGGTGGCGTTTGGCGGGCAGCCAGGCGAGCAGTCACCACCTCTGCTGGCAGGGTGATGCCTGCCGCCGCCTCGGCACGTTTCAGCAGAAAGAAGAGGAAGCGGGCGCGGAAGGAGACGAGAGAGGCACGTTGCTGTGGGCCGCAAGCCCGCCTCACTCCAGCTCCAGGTGGTCCTCATAGGTGGCTGGCGGCAGCGCAGAGGCTAGCGATTGCAGCTCCCAGTCGAAGCTGCTGCTGGCGCTGCTGCAGGCTGCAGGCAGGCGGGCGGGCGGACAGACACCAACACGGGAAGGGTGAGCGATGGGGCAAAGGTAGCAGGCACCCAGGCCAGATGGCCGCATGCAAGCTACCAGTAGGTAGCGGGGATACCAGCCGCCCGCCAGCTGCCCACCAGCTGCTCACCTGGGTCGATGTCGGGCATAAACTCCGGGGCCGGCTGGCTGCGCAGGGTATCCCAGTCGATGCCCGCAAAGAAAGGGTGGGCCTGGAGCTCCGCCAGGTCAGCAGCCCCTGCGGCACAGCATGGCACAGCGCGGTGAGAGTCGACTGGGGGGAAGGGAAGGGCGGCGAGATCTCAGGCAGGCAGGCAGGCGCGGCACGCAATGCAGCCACTGCACGTGGCAGCCAGCCAGCCAGCCAGCCGGCCGCACTGCTGGCATCAACCCTGATGGGGCGTGGGTAGGGTAGGCGAGCGGGCTCACCGATGCGCTGCGCTGGCTCCACTCGCAGCAGGCGGGCAACGAGGTCGGCGGCCGCCTCGGACCCGCCCTCTGGCAGCTCGTAGTCTGCCTCCACAATCTTTTGGAAAGTCAGGTACTCTGCAGGAAGAAAGACGGAGAGAGGGAGGGAGGGAGGAGAGTGAACTGGAAAGGCTTGGCGAGGAGATTGGCGCACGACCAGGGATGAACGCAACGCGGGCGAGGAGGAAAGAAACGGCAGGGACGAATGAACGCAGCAGGACTGGGAGCAGGCCCGCCGCCAGCCGGCCAAGCTGGCAGGCGAGCGAGGCGCCGCACCCGAGGGCGACTTGAAGGGCGGGCGCCCCGCCAGCATCTGGTATACCACGCAGCCCAGGGCCCACAGGTCAGCGGCGCAGGTCACGGCGCGGTTGTTCAGTATCTGCGCAGCCAGGCGGCGGGCAGGGAGGAGCGGCGGGTGGGTGGGTGGGTGCGTGGGTGGCGGCAGCAAGGGTTGGGGCGCGGCAGAAGGCAGGCGCAGCCGGGGGCAGGACAGGTCAGGCGAGCCACAGGCGGCGGGCAACCAGACGGCGCACCACCAACAACCCCACGCTGCCCACCAGGCCCACCCACCTCTGGTGACACGTAGTCTGCAGTACCAACTAGCGACACCGCACGCTTGCTCCGCTCCGCGCCCAGCCCCGACCCTCCCTCGGCGCGCGGCCCCGCTTCTCCGTCCGCTCCGGCGCCCTCCCCTTCCTCCTCTGAACTCTGGGAGGCCTCGGCCAGAGGCTCCTCCTCGCCGCTCCCGCCAGCCTGCTCTGCATCGCTGCCGCCAGCCTCCGTGCCGCCATCCTCGCCGCCTGCCGCCGCGCCGTCCACCACAGCCGCCGCCACGCTCCCCGGCTGGGCAGCGGCATGCTTCGCCGCTGCGCCGCCGGCCTTTGCGGCGGCGTCCGGTGGCGCGTCCGCATGCGCGGCCTGCTCCTCTTCCGGGGCCAGCTGTTTTGCGGACCCAAAGTCTATGAGTTTCAGGTGGCCCTCTCCGTCCAGCAGCAGGTTCTCGGGCTTGAGGTCGCGGTGCACCACGCCCTGCTGGCGCAGGTACCGCAGCATGAGCACCACCTCCCCCGCGTACGCCGCCGCCGTGGCCTCCGGCAGCCGCCCCTGCAGCCGGATCTGGTCGTAGAGCTCGCCTGCAGGCAGGGAGGGAGAGAGGGAGGAGGCAGGGAGGGAGAGAGGGGGGGGGTAAGAGGCAAGGAGGGCGCCAGAGGGTGAGAGGCGGGCGGGCGGTGCGGGAGCGAGGGGCAGGCACGGCACGCCAGCCCCAGCCCGCCGACATCTGCGCACCCAGCACCCAGCGCCCGCTTCACACCTGGCCGCTGCTTCCCCGCCTGACCGCGGCGCGGTTAAGCCTGTACGGTACCAGCGGGCCTGCCTGCGCACCGTTGGGGCAGTACTCCAGGCCAAGGTACAGCGAGTACGCGTCCTGGAAAGTGAAGTACAGCTTGGCGATGCCGTCGTACTGCAGCGCGTCCAGGATCTGGCGCTCCTTGCGGATGTAGTCCACCACACGGTGCCTGCAGGGGGTGCTTGTGGGTGCAGGGGAGGCGGGGAGGTGGGGAGGTGGCAGGCAGGGGAGCGGCGGGCGGAGGCAGCCAACGGGCAGAGATGGGCGCTGTGGAGGCACCATGCGGGCCGCCGCTGGGCGGGCACAGCAGATCACGGAGCCTCGCCAGGCCGCTGCCTGCCCGGCGGCTGTCTGTACCTCATAATGTACTGCTTGTCGATCACTTTCAGCGCGTAGTCTCGCCCCGTGGCGCGGTGCCGCGCCAGCACAACGTGCGAGTAGCTGCCGTCCCCGATGCGGCGCAGAAGCTCAAAGTCCGCCAGCGACAGCTGCATCCTGCATGCCAGAGCAGCGGGGAGGAGGACTACAATGAGCTGCAGCGGCTACCGTCTGACCAGCACCCAGGCCGGGGCGGTGGGCGGTGGGCAGCGGCCGGTGGCCACTACGGGGCGTTGTGAAGCCGGGCTGATTCCGCTCCGCAGCGCATACGGTCGCCAGGGGAGGGCAGAGGCGGGGGCAGGAGCACTGGAAGGCTCTCGGCGGGCCACAATCGCGCCTGGGGGCCTTATACTCTGGGTCGCTCATAACGCTGGCTGGGGCCAGGGCCGCCGTGCCCGGGCACATGATCTCGAATGGAGGGCAGCGCCAGCCCTTCAGCGGCAAGCCATGCCCGACACAGGCTAGTGGAGCCCGGCAGCCAGTTGAGGGCAAACCAGACACGTTTGTGGGATGCTTATGGCGTTGGCAGGGCCGCAAAGCCAGGGGGCCACTAGCGGCCTAGGTCGACCTCATTTCGCGCCTTTCCAAAAAGCCCCACCAGCATGGGAGACCCTCAAACGTCCGTTCAAGGGTCTTGTTCACGCCCGGGTTCTCCCTGATTACTTGCAAGACCCCATCTTTGTAATTTCTTCCCTCGTGGCCCCTCCCCCAAAACCCCCACAATCGCTTGCCGGCGAGTGGGTCTGCTGGCACCTGGCCCATGGTCGCGCTTGGAGGCCTTGTATCGCCAGATGGTGATGGGTGGGATGCAATCTACGGGCGCTGCAAGGTGAGCACTGGCTCGAGAGGGGCAGGGCGCGCGCGTGAGTGGGTGGCGGTGTCGGTGGATGGCACGTTGGTGGGTGTGTGGGTTGGAGGGTGGGGGAGCAGGAAAGCGTTGTTGACACCTGCTGCCAGTACACGCTGGGGATGCAATGCTCTGTCTTCATTGCTAGGCTGAGCAACTGCGGGGCCGCCGTTTTGCCGCAGGTGGTGTTCCCGCACGGCGGCATGCAGCACTCGGTCCGGGAGCTGGTGTCGAGAGAGGTGGCGGCCCTGGTGTGTGATGCCCTAGCAGGTACGACGCACGCATATGTGACAGTGTTGGTCGTTTGTGACAGCTGCTGCAGCGCCTGCTGGCTGGATCAAGTCGCTGCTGGCACGCATCGGCTGACCCGGGCCTTGTTGCCGCTTGCGCCGCTTGTGCAGTGAAACAGGTGGTGGATGCAGGGCGGCTGGACCTCAGCTTGCTGTCCCTGCGCTCGCAGCAGCACAGCCCCCTCAGGTCGGTACCTACTGCATCATCAGCCCGCCAGGCCTTGGGAGGCGCAGTCAAGCTGGTTGGTGTTCCCCGCCTCGTCTAGCCGGGCCGATGCCCTAACAGCAAACAGCGCGCTGCTGGCTTCGCTGTGGCTTGCAGGCTGAGCGAGGGCGCCAGCCGCGTGATTCGCGGCGCCAGCTTCCAGCAACTGGTGCAGCAGCTGCAGGACTGCGCCACGCCAGCGGTGCAGCGTGAGTGTGGCCTGGCAGCAATCTGCACCCGACGGCCACCACGCATCGGCACATGCCTGCTCCCGCCTGACCCTGCGCCAGCCAAGCATGTGCTGTGCTGATGTGCGCATGCCTGGCTCCTCCCTGCATGCCTGCAGGCTGGGAGACCTTCCGCACGCTTGACTCTGCTGTGCGCACGGCTGCCTCCCTGGGCCACACCTGTGCGCTCCAGATCTTGCTGCTGCTAGACCCGTCGGCTGCGGCAGCCACCAACGTCGGCAGCCAGTCCCCGCTGCATGTGGCTGCCCACTACGGACATGCGGCGGCGGCGCAGCTGCTGCTGGCGGCCGCGCCGCGCACCGCCTCGGCCACAGACTGCCGCGGCTGGACCCCGCTGCACGCCTGCGCCTGCTACGGCAGCGTGGGGGTCGCGCGGCTGCTCCTGGCAGCAGCTCCCGGCACGGCTGCGGCTGTGGATAGGCGTGGCTGGACGCCCCTGCATGCGGCGGTGCGGCACGGCCACAGCGCGGCGGTGCGGCTCCTCCTGGCAGCAGCGGTGCAGGACTCGGCAGGGCAGACCCCGCTGCAGCTGGCCCTCTCGTCTGACAAGGGGCAGGACACTCTGGCAGAATTCATCATCGCCCGCCACCAACTGACAGAAGAGGAGTGGGCGGCGGTGCCGGCGCCCTGCCCAGGCCTGGCGCGAGCGCTTCCCGCTGCGCTGGAGCAGTCGGAGGCGCAGGCACGGCGCCTGATGCGCCACCTGCCGCCATGCCATGTGCAGCGCCTGCGCACCTTTGCGCTGTGCCTGGCCAGGCAGCAGCAGCGGGTGGGCGTGCCGCTGCCGCCCTCCGTCTTGGGCGCGCTGCTGGCGCGGTCGGTTGCGGCTTGAAACCACACTCGATACCTGCTTCTGCATTGTTTAGCTTTACCCTATTGTTTCCCATGGTATTGAATTTTCTTTCGGATGTCAGCCTTGCTGGCCCTCTGCCCGTTACTCTTCTCCAGCCATCAGTTCTATGCATCTTGATATACGTGTTTTGTCAATGAAATTACTTGTGATTACACATGCACCACCACATCAAATGGGAGATCGTGCAAAGCAGGGAGCGGCGGGTGGTGGGATGGCCAGATGGCCCTCATCCTCTTCCTGTGCATCCAACCGCAGCTAGTCTTGCTGCCTGGCGGGGCACCGCCAGCTGTCGCCAGCGAGGCCCGCCTCCGCAGCACACGTCATCAGTAGCAGCTGGTGTAGAAGCCCTGGCACTCGGTGGAGATGCTCTGCGGGTCGGGGCAGGCGCTGTCATCCAGCACAGTGTTCAAAGTGAACAGGTTGCCGTCAGCATCCTGGATGTCCTGCGGGCAGCCCGTGGCTGCCTGGTTGGTGCAGTAGGGGGAGCTCTCGACCGCCAGAGGGCCGCAGTCGGGGATGGGGTTGTCGGCGCCACGGAAGGGGCAGGAGGAGGGCCAGGTGCCGGACCCGCAAGAATACCTGCGGGCAGGGGCACGGGGCAGGGGTAGGCTGGTGGCCATGGGCTGGGGTGAGGAGTGTCCAACGGGCCGCATCGCAGTGTTGTAGCAACCGCAAGTTCAGCAAACGTGTGTGGGGGCCACAGGCCGGCATCAATGAGGGCTTGCCTGGCTTGGTAGGGCTCGGGGGCTGTGGACACCTCGCCACAGTACACGCAGAGGCGGGCGTGGGCGGGCTGGCGGCAGTGACAAGGACCAGCGCCGCCACGAGCGCCGTTGCTGTTGCCTTGGCCAGCGCCATCTGTAGGGCACACCTCACGGGCTGCTCAGCCCAGCCAGCAAACTATGCATATTCTAAAAGGTAAAGGTGGGGAAGAGCCTCCACAAGCTTCACTTCCCGGTTTTAACGTCTAGCTTTAGACCATTATTTGATCTGCCCGACGCGCCAAGTGCAGCCAGTTGTTCATCGTTCCTTGCTCGAGTCCCCCGGCGCGGCCGGGCCCCGCGCCCCCCTCCCGCTCCTCTGGGGCCCTTCTTGAGCAACACCCTGCCTTGGGGACGCAGGACGAGGGCGACCGCAGCATCGCCGGCTCGCTTGGCCCGCCAGCCGCCCATTCTGCAACTGCCCGCACTCGAGATGGCCTCCTGATGGTGCGTGGAGGGGTGCCCCGGGCCCTGCGGCGCCCGCGGCTCGGCTAGTCCGGCGAACACCCCCTCGGGCCGGTGCCGGCTCCCGGCCCGTTGTATGAGCCCCCGTGTGCCCCGTTGGTGCCCGGCCACCCCCTCTGCGACTTGTTCGCCCCCTACGACGCGTTTTGTGCGCGCCAGCCCCTCCCCCCAATTCCCGCTTCCGTGTGTCGCGGCCCCAAGCCCTGGTGCTTTCCCTTCAGCGAATTGAGACGTGGGGTGGCGTGGCTTGGCGGAGGAGCCTGTTGCCGCCGAGCGATTTGCGTTCGGGCAGGCCGCTGCTGCTGCTGCCGCCGCGTGCCGGGCGGCCCGCCGTCCCCCCCTCTTTTCGCTCACTCCGTGCCTGCCGTTCTGGTCGTCACGCCCCTACTCTCCCCCCCGTAACCCGCAGATGCTTGCGCTTTTGCGCTTGCCCCGTCCTCCCCTTGCCCGGTCTTCCCGCGTGCCGCCTTCACCTTTGCGGCCCCCGCCCGCCCGCCTGGCCGCTCTCCCAGCTACTGTGCCGGGGTGGGTGGGCCCGCTTTCTGGTGGTGGTGGTGTGCGGGTCCTCGACCTGCCCCTCCCCCCCACTGGTATGCTTGCCGCCCTTGGGCTGGCCATCAGGCGCCCCTCGCCTCCCTCCCCGCCCTTTGCGCCCGACCGCTCCCTGAGCCCGCCCTTTGCCGCCCGGGCGGTATTGCATGCTTTCATACAGTCCAGAGCTAGTGGGCACGGCTTGTGTGCCCCCAGCCCATTAATGGGCATTGCCTCTGTAACATCACAGACAGATCACAGCCAATAAGGAGCTGGATGAGTGTCGGTGGGTGATACCACAGGCACGAGTTCGAACCCCAGCCGGGACACTAGCTGGGACTTTGCCTCACGGCACCTTCGTGGCGGCATCTGGGCGGCGGACGGCTGCCCGGCAGACCGGCATGGCGCTTGCAAGACGGAGCCTCCCCGGGATGCCATCGGCGGCCAGATTTTCCTCGCTCTGGACAGCCGGCAGGGTTAGTGGGTTCGGCCCCAGCACATTAATGTGCCCAATCCCTGTAAAACACACACACACACACACACACACAGCAGCCGGGACCGTCGTTGGCCGCGACGTTAAATAAGGAGCTGGATGAGTGCCGGTGGGTGATACCACAGGCACGAGTTCGAACCCCAGCCGGGACACTAGCTGGGACTTTGCCTCACGGCACCTTCGTGGCGGCATCTGGGCGGCGGACGGCTGCCCGGCAGACCGGCATGGCGCTTGCAAGACGGAGCCTCCCCGGGATGCCATCGGCGGCCAGATTTTCCTCGCTCTGGACAGCCGGCAGGGTTAGTGGGTTCGGCCCCAGCACATTAATGTGCCCAATCCCTGTAACACACACACACACACACAGTTCTCCCGTGTGATCTGACCTGAGCCTTGACCCCCTGTGTCGCCTGCCCTCTGAGGCGGTCCCCGCCCGCCCGCCTGGCCGCTCCCCCAGCTTCTGTGCCGGGGTGGGTGGCGTCTCTGAGCCGCTTGCGCCGCCTGCTGGCGGTCCTGGCCCTTGATCCCCCTCTTTCCCCTGTCTTTTGCCCCCCGTTTCCCCTCCTCACACCTCTCTGACAGTCACTGGGCTGGCTCCCAGGCACCCTCCGCTTTCCCTGCCGCCCGCTG